GAGTAAGTATAACCTGCATCACACAAGGCCAAAACCTTATATCCTTCTGGAGTAGGTTTGTTCTTCATTCTAAATGTATGTGCACTCCTGCCACAAAATCTAATGATCATTTCATCAACTGCAACATTAGAAGATGGGATGTAAATAGATTGTGATACATCATTTATGTGAGATGCTAATGGTTCAAGTTTAGAATACCAAAATGGATGGTCACTATAAATGTCAGAAATATGCAAAAAGTTCTTAATTTTTTTAAATGTTTGCAGTTGCATATATGAGGTAATGGAATGAATTGGCATTCTTTCATCCTTATTCCAAAAGTCTTTAAAAGATGGAGTTTTGTATATCCCTGAATAAATAATAATTCCTAGCCAAGTCAAAAATTCATAAAAATCAATATCCACCCAAGAATCTTCTTTTTTTTGTTTTCCATATTTATTAGTATTATTTACAATTGTTCTTAAAATTTCATTCGAAAAAAATAGTTTAAAAATATCATAAGGTGTGATGGAATCAAGAATACTGTATTCATATGGCAAATTTAAATGAGGCTCATTGTATAAAGGATATTGATGAGCAAACTTATTAAATGATGGTGGACTTGGAAGATTAATTTGTTGTGATTGTGTATTTCTATTTCTTCCACCACCTCTTCTATCACTTCTAGCTCTACTCCTGTTTCTGTTACCTCCACTAAATGTTGAAATTTCATTTTCTTCGTCAGTTTCATCTTCATCTTCTGCATCATGTTCAAAAACTTCATCTTGATAAATATCTTGTGGTCTTCTTGTAATGTTAGCAACATAGTAACCTGTTTCATCGTCAGAATCAATAACTTCTTTGAAAATATTTTCTTGTAAACTCATTTTAATTTTTTTTAGTTTAAAGCAAAATTAAAATAATTATCTGTTCCTTTTAATTGATTAAGAATTAAACTTTTAAAATGATTCAAACCTTGGTGGTATGATCCACTATAATAGTATTTTTAAATCACACCATTGAAATTTTGGATCAGGCGATATTAAAAAAAAATCATACAATACCAAATAACGTAATTGGAAATAGTGGTTTGTACTACATGAATAAAATTCCAAAAAAAAATACATAATAATAATAACCAATTTTTTGTTTATTTACATATTAATATAGAGATACTATTTGTAAACATTTTTTAAATAGTACATGCCACACTCAGAGTTATACGGAAAAAATTTTATTTATGGTAAAAAATTGTAATTGTAAATCTACGCCAAATTTGGCGTAAATTTCCTTTAAGGGATATGAATCAATTTGTTTTAACTTAAACAACTTTAAAATAATTTCGCCCAATTTCGGCTAATAACAAAAAGTAGTTTGGGCTTATAAAAAAATAAATTTTGCCCAAAGTATTTGGGCAATTTTGGCTACTAATAGAAGCAGTTTCGGCTAGAAACCTTAGTCAAGTACCTTGTAACTGATCCACCAAACATGAGATCAAAGTGTGTCTTACCAATGTCAATGATCAACTTGAATGATGATGAGCCATACTGGAAGGACCAGATTGAGAAATATTTCTCAAGACCAAGGGGTGACCCTTTTGACTCCACAAGTTACAAAGAATATTTTGAGAAATACAAGGTAAAGACATCTGTGGGTTCATCAAGTAATCAGTCTGTGCACCATGACCTCCTTGGAAATTATATTGTTCAGAGAAAATCCTCCATTTTGGTTTGTTAGAGGCACCTACAAATGGGACATGGTGAATTGTACTTTTACCAAAAGCTATTGATGAACATACCTGCAAGGAGTGAAGAAGAATTGAAAGGCAAACATAGTACATATCATGACCATTACATCAGAAGGTTCCTGATCAGTTCACATAAATAATAGGAAGAGAGCACCAATTCCAACACCAGAGAACCATCCACATGTTGGGTCAATATAGCATGCTCATTGAAAACCTGTTCAACTCACTCCAAATGTTGAGTACTGGAAACATTCAATACATTGTTAGACAACAGCTCAATAGCACAAAAATATTACCACTTTTCATACCTGATAATGCAACAATAAATCTGCCCACAAGCCAATACCAACATCTTCAAACAATTACAAACTACTTGGGGAAAAAAGGCACAAATAAATTTCCCTAGTTTTTCATAACTGGCTCTGCAGGAACTGGGAAATCTTATATAATTAATATATTGGTGAAAAGACGTGGAAGAAACTACCTGTTGATGGCCCTGACTAGAATTGCTGCCCAAAATATAAAGGGACAAACAATCAATTCTTCTTTGAGGATTTGTTCAACTGGTGAAAAGTACCATTTTTTGATACTGGATTTAAAATGAGCTAAAGGGGATCAATTATTATTGATGAAATTTTAATGGTTTCAGCTTCATTGTTATCATTCATTACAAATTTATTCTCAGGTATTCATAACAATACTGAACCATTTGGTGGAATAAACGTCATTGTCATTGGAGACCTTGCTCAGTTCATGGAAATCCTGTTTATCTATCACCAGTTTGGAAGGTTTTCTATCCTCTCTTCCTTCAACAATCTAGATGTAAACAAGAAGATTTAGAATTTTATGAGCTCTTGCAAAAAAATTAGGATTGGTAATATTGATGAACCTGTCTGGCGACAACTGCAGGGAAAATTTAAAGAGGATGCTTTGAATGATTCTGTTGATAATCTGCTGTGTACTGCACACATTGTTGGGTTTAAAGAATGTGCTGCACAAGTGAATTGCACTATATGCAATTTCTCACCTGTGGTAGAAAATAAGTTTATGATTTCAGATGCTGTGGATATTGTAAATGGTCAAATTATTAGCAATGATGATAATTTATTTAAAGAAAAACAAACCTCCCCAAATTTGTCAGGTTTCAAGTTGGTGTAAGAGTAATGTTCTTGAATAACTCACAAATGGAACACAATACCTTAATGGAACCATTGGCATAATTACAGATGTTGATGTTGATGTTGATAATGAACAAGTTCAGGTTGCCTTTTCTATTCATTCCGCCATTGTTGATGCTGTCCTCTCCAAGCAGAAGATTAATTTTGTGCTTAATGAAAACCCTGCAAACAGAACTCAGTCCCTGTACAGAATGCTTTTAGTTTAACAGTCCACAAGACACAAGGGTTGCCAAGTATATCTGTCTGCCTTGATCAACAGATATTCGCTCCCAGACAGGCTTATGTTACTCTCAAGATAGGAAGATCTCAAAATTAACTCTCTTTCAAGAGAGGCATTTATGGTTGATCAATTGATGGTTAGGGAGTATGCTTGACTGGAAGAAATCGCTGACAAGTCATTGCCTATTAACAACAACAATTCATAATAATAAAATGGCCATTTATCATTATTATTGTTGTTGTAATTTTACATTCAAAAAATTATTCAAATTATTTTTTCTATCATATATTTCTATTAATATTAGAGTATAATATGAATTGTAATGTCTCCTGCCAAATTTTCACATGAAAAATACTGCTGTGATAAACCTTAATCACAGTAGATGATGAAACATTTTTAATCTATGTCAAGTACACAAAACTTCCTTTTAAATATTGATTCGCATAATTATAAAAAACAATTCACATTAATATGATTTGTCATTTAATTTAGAGGTCACTGCCTTTATCATTATATAATTCAAAGAAAAAAAAGTCCTTGGTTACACTGATTTGCAAATATTAATATAGAGAAATGAAAAATGTCATCAGTTAACATTTTACTACATACCCTAATATTTCTGATATTCACCCACTTTGCAAGAATGGATTTTTATTTGTGTATTCCAATAAAATCTTGTGTTTGGGTAAAGTAATCACGTTTTATGAGAAATGTGGGCAATGACATGCATGGGTAGAAAAGCCAGCAGGATTTTTAGATCATTTATCTATCATTTCTATTAATCCAGTATCACATGAGGAGACATTACATACAATTCATATTACACATTGTTTATTTTTTTTACTCTATTAATGACATTAATCCTTGATTGATCACAGTAGATGATGAAACATTTTAATTTATAATCATTTTAGTCATTTGGTCACATACAATACCCGGTCCTATTAAAAATCACCCCTTAAAATTGGTTTTCCATAACCCCAAGTCTAACTAATAATAAACTTTTTTTTCCCTCAAACTCTTCATTATTTTTTTGATTTCTGACAATTTTTAATTTTTCAGTAAAGAAAAAAAAATTCTCCTGAAATTAATACATGTTTAATTCTCTTTTAAATACTTAGTCCATATTGTTTGTTTGTTATGCAAACTTTTATATATATACTAATACCATTTTACCTAGGTAAGGAAATAATTTTTTAGTAAAAAACTTAACAATGGCAGAATATCAATACAACCTATTTAAATGGTTATTAGAAAATAATAAAGATAATAATAATCATGATTTAATTCTTATATTTTTTTGTCATTTGTTATATAAAGGTTTACTCCTTCAAAAAGCTGAACAGAATGAAATTCTTAGGTCGATTTTGTGTAGAGTTAATGAGGAAATCGATTTTAATTTACTACCAAAGGCATCAGCATGTTTAATAGCACATACTCAAGATTAATAAACCATAGACAAAAGGAGTAAGTATCACTTTATTTCTATATTTATTTATTCATTTAGATGATGAATTATGTTTGCAATTTCACAGCTTAGACATCTAATGGGAATTATTATAGAGTTTACTGGTTGACTCTATAATATCTCCCTAGTAGGATTGGGGCATTAGGGTGTATAAGAGATTTCTATAATGATGATTTAAGCGGAAGGTGGTGGTAGCAGTCAGGGATATTAAATTGTCCATCTAGTCCGGTCAGCCTGTGTTTGTTTCCTTTGGAATAACTGGATGTTACTAAAACTCCTTTAATAATTATAATACTACATTATAACACTGCCACCATTTATAAAAACTACCAAACCACCTGAAACTTAAATTACATTATAATGTCACATGTCTACAGAAGTGTCAAACTGTATAACATCACTGAATACATCTTTTATTTGTAAAAAAAAAATTATTTATATAAAATAATTCTAACTAAACATATATACTCTTTAGTTTATGAGAAATGCTCTTGTGGATTTGTGGAATACCACGAATGAATATTTCAAGGTGTTTGAACTGTTAGGAAACTTAGCATCCAAAAAAGGTTCAAACCAAAATTATGAAGATAATAAAAAGAGTGATTCATTGGCATTGTCACTTTCATTGTCACCATCAGCATCATCATTACTTTTGTTGCTGCCATCAGCATTGTTACTTACATTGTTGCCATCAGCATTGTTACTTTTGTCATCACCATCAGCATTGTTACTTTTGTTGTCACCATCACTATCATTACCATTGTTGTCATCATTTTCACCATCATCATCATCATCTTCAGCAGATAATGGAGGCAGTGATTACTATACTGATGAAGAGTCATCAGATCTTGAGTTTGAAAGGACTAAGGAGAAAATAAAGGCGGTGGGTTATTTATTTGGTTTACCTAAATCAATCAAAAAATTTAAAAAAACTTAAATTATTTATAATCTATTTATTTAGATTTTGTGTGAATATCTGGAAATGTACAGAATTCCTCTGTTCATTTCAAATAATATTGACCAATTAGGATTGAAACCCGAAGATTTAATCTTGAATGGGATTATTAACAAAATAGAACTTGAAAGAAAGTTCCCAATCTTCTACAACAATTTAATCAAAGTTGGACTGGTTGAGAAAACCAAAATAAAATATGTTGAAATGTCAGAGGATACTTGTGCATTTATTAATAATTTTTTTAAATACAACAAAGTTGAAGTAGGGTTTGTATTCATGAATATCATAAGGGGTCACACAGGGTCACACACTATTAAAATCAAGTGATCAACTCATGTTTTTAAGGGATCTTTTGCTGTTTTAATAGCGTGTAACCCCCTTAATGATATTCATGATATTCATGAATAAAAACCATAAGTTGAAGTTTCACTTTCTGTTGGACTTGAACAAAGCTTTTATCATGAACTGTTGGGTATGATGCTCAAAATGTAAGTGAGAATGTAATTTTTAACTTAACTTAAAATATGCATACATGATTTCATTATAAAAAAGAACATAATTTTTAATTAACTTCTTAACCTAAAAAAATGTTATAGGAAAAGAATTTGGATGACAAACAATGATTAACAAAAGAACATATATGCATGATCTTGTTGATGGATTGGTAAATTTCACTTTGTTTGAATTGGGATTAGAGGGTAGATTTGATGGTTCTAAAAGCCAAGCAACACAATGTAGAAAGGGTAAAGACGATGGTCCTGTTAGATTTGCAGATTTTTTTGGATACAAGTTAAACATAAAATATGATCATCAATATGAGCTTACATCAGGAAATTTTTTCTGACGTGGATTTACATAATTATTACACTATTTATGTAAGTTTACAGCAGGCCCATAATATTATGCAAATAAGCATACAAAAATTTTGCAATTATTACATCGAGTGTAAATATTACATAATTTTTTATGCGAATATTACATATTAAAATTTATGGATGTAATATTGTGGTGGGAAAATTTCCTGATGTATTTATTTAGAGACAAGTAGTGGAAACAATCAAAAACATATAAATGAGGATTTTAACTGTCTTTCTATATTTTCCAAAGATGCTGTTAATCACAATATCAGTTTTTTAAGAAAATTTGAAAATTATACTGACAAGTTAGAACCTCTTGTTGACAAGTTACAAATAATATTATTTCATTTTTATCGTAAGTTAAATAATCTTTTTTATCTTTTTTTTTTAAATTGTTTATTAAATTAATCAATTTTTATTTAGACACAAAATTGGACATATATGTAAACGATAGGTTGTATAAACCATTTCATAATGTGTAATTATTATTTTCTTTGGATCTACCAATCTTCATGAATAATTACTTGTCACAAATATACATGAAGTCGAAATTAAAACCCCAAAGTTGAAATGTTTTGATTTGAGGCAACTACATAGTAAAAATCAGTTTTGACCTTATTTCAACCCTATTTCAACCAGATCTGCAAATGGTCAAAATAGTTTCGACTTCATGTATAGTCACAAAGCAGAAAAAATTTCATATCATTGTGTGAAAAGTTATGGTATATATGAAGATTAATAGAAGAAAACATTAAAGTGATTGATGAATTAGAAGACATTATCTGTTTTAAAGATATCTGTTCATCATTTACACCTGATACTTCAGACATTTTTATTTATACCTTTAGTACAACAAATTAAAGAAGGTGGATATCTATTAAGTAAATCATAATTCTTTAATAAAAGGAATTTTCTAGCAAATACTTAAGTCACATATGACTTATTCACAGAGTTGACAAAGAGAAATAGATAGATCTGTTTTTAAATTTTTTATTTGTATATATATAAAAATCAAAAACATGAAAATTATTTTTCTAGAAATTTTATTTAGAATTTCATGTAAAAATTATATACAAATATAGATAAAAATATTATTAAAAAACAAAAAAATTTATATATTATTATTATTGTTAGTTTTTAATTTGTTAATTTTTGATAAATTGAATTAAATCTAAACAAATATTTATTTTATCAGTTAAGATAATTTGTTTAGATGTTCTAACTCTTTTTTTTATATCATTGGTAAAATTTTCTTTAGATGGGATTACTATGACACCAATAATATCTTTTGGGATATGATATCCAGATAATACACCTTCTAATTTACATAATACTTCAACACCTTAGAAAATAAATTGAATTAAGAATTAATATATTAATTATTGAAAAAAAAAATATATAGTAATAAAAAAAATAATTAAATACCAATCTTCCCCTTATGATTTTTACATTGTATCATGATCGGAAAGCCTCTAAAAAATCCTTATATGTCTACTTCACCATCCCCATGGTTTACTTCTATTCTGTTAAAATAAAAAAAAATGAGTACTTGTGTCATTGTTATCAAGATAAATGTTCCTGTCTTGGTGTACCACTATTATATATCCTATTCACCACAGGTCTAGTTTGAGAATTCCAGCTTTTTGGTAACAAAGAAGGATGTTCACAATAGGCTGTCCACTGTATATTAGGTCTGGATACCTAACTGGTAACTTTCACAAATTGTGGCCATGAAGTGCTTCCAGTTCTCCAATTTACACCTAGTGGCAGCATAACTTCAGATATATAATAACTCTACAACTACTCAGTGGTAAAAAAATACCCACATTCTCCTATGAAAATCCATACTAATTTCTTTTAATATTTTTAAAATTTCAATTTCAAAATGGCTTCCTTTAGTGTTATTCATGTTTATGTTTTTTTTTTTAAAAAAAAAAAATAAATAATAATTAGTAATTGATTTTTATACCATTTTTATCATTCAAAAAAAGAAATTAGACATTACAAACTGAACTTTAAATATTAATTTTGGGATTTTTTTATAATAAATTTTAGTATCGAATTACCAAATTGGTTAAGAACAAAGGATGAAAAGATCCTAATTTAGTAACAAACATTAAAAAAAAAAGAACATGAAGGAACAAATAGTTTTTTGACTTTAAACATGTTTTTCTTTTAAAAAATTCAACTTCAAAAAAATTATACATAGTGAGACACCTATATAATCCCACAACTTTTTATATATAAACAGACTTTTAAAAAATAACAATAATCAATAGAAATAAATATATACACAGTCAATCCACTCACCTTGGGAACACTCATGAGTATAAGCTTGGGAATGAGAAGGGTGTGCATCTAGAGAGGGTGCAATTAGAGGGGGTTGACTGTATATATATTAATATTTCATTCAACAAAGAGAAACAGATCAAAGAAGAAATTCATGCTTTCTAACAAAATAGTATGTTCATGTGGTTATCTAAATTTAGAACAGACCACAAAAGTCATTTTTAAATCTGTGTGATCTAAGGATACCAGCTGCAACTTTTGATGATGGTTGCTACCATCTTTGCGTCATATAAAAACAATTGCAACCACTGGTT